TTAGACCGTGCCACCAAAGCCACGCAATGGGGAAGCAGAAGTTTCTCCAGGAGAGGTGAGCTTCCTCCCACCCCGCTCTTACCAGGCACAAAAATTCATTTTGAAATGAATCGTTGATCCTGCCGGTATAAAACTTTATTTTGTAAGAAGAAACCAAATGGTCTTGTTCCTGGAGTGGGCAAAATTATGGGGGGGCAGAGAGGAGCCCTGGGGAGATTTCGGGGTGAGGGATGAACCTGTGATCCATGGATCTCCGTGTGCACTCCAGCTCCTGCCGAACCGCGAACCAGTGCCGGCCTCGCATGGGACCCCGCGCTAGAGCGTTTCACCGCGGAGCGGAGGGAGGGCAGGCAGGAGATAAAGCAGAGGTTCGCGGTAGGATCCGCCTCAGGCCTGCTCACGGTCCGGGCAAACTGGAACTGCGCACGGACAAGGGTGTGCAAACCCGCTGGGCTAAGGCGACGCGGCGCAGCCGCGAATGGCATCCTCCACGGGTGAAAGGGATGAGCTAATACCCGGTGTAGGTGGAGCTTAGAGACCTCCATGGAGCAAAGGAGGCTCGGCCGCGGAGCCCGAGGGCCGTGTCCCGCTCGTGTGCTGTTCTGGAGCAGTCAAAGGTCTGGCCACCTGGTAGGCAGGGAAGAAATGGCGAGCAGGCGACACGGGGACTTGCTCGGCAATGGAAACGGATATCTTGATTTGGGTGGTGGTTATGTTTGTCGCAATTCAAGGAAGACACTTATGTTCTGAGCGTTTCTGGTGTATAATTCATGTCTTAACTCTTTTAGAAAATGAAACATTTATGCTTATGGTATGATCACAAAATATGGTGTAGATATAAATAAAACAATTATTACAGTAAAAGACAGGGCCGTGAGTGCTCCCAAACCCCCCCCCCCCACACACACACACACACTGCGCACACTGATCTGCAGCAGCTCTGGAGTCCTCTTCCGTGAGTTGCTTTACTTGCACTGCCATAGCTGTCCCAATGTCCTGAATCCGTCCAAAAAGCCTAGGGGCTGGGGAGATAGCTCAGCAGTCTAAGCGCCTGCCTGGCAAGTGCAAGGACCCAGGTTCGATCCCTGGTACCGCATACCATGCAGGTTCCAGAGCTCCGCCGAAACTGGCATGGTGGCACATGCCTATGATCCCAGTTCTGGGGAGGCTGAGACAGGAGGATCTCTACAAGTCTGAGCTGTGTACCGAGACCCTGTACAAAAGTAAATAAAGAAAAAAATTTTTTTAAAAAAAGTTTACCCTTCATGGTCATTTTCCTTTTGGATGACAGCCAGAAGTCACCTGCAGCCAGATCCAACAAGTAAGGTAGGGGAGGACACAGCGTCACCGCTCCAGGAGCCACCACTCCAGGGGCTGGTGCTCCGCAGCAGCGTGCCTCACAGTTTATCACATCCTATAAAGATAGTCATGAAAGAGGACTTCCGGACCTGCTGCAGAAAGGGGCGGAGATGAGAGAGCCATGCCAGTGGAAGCCACATACTTCCATGTAACAAGGTATTACAAAATCATTACACACTGGAGTTTTGACAGTCTCACTCTGCATGCAGTTCAGGCTGGCCTTATACTCACTACGTAGCCCAGGTTGGCCTCAAACTCCGGTGACCCTTTTGCCTCAGCTCCCAAGTGCTGGGATTACAGGCATGCGCCACCACGCCCAGCTAACCAACTTTGAACATGTTTAACCACACGGTAAAATATGCATCCTATGAAGTCAATTTTACAAAGCATGTAACATTTTACATTTAATACATACCCAAATTGGAAAAGCTTTAGTTTGGAGTGTAAGACACTATTGATTTTAAGGCGAAATACAGCTTTTACTAAAGATTTTCTTGTAAGGGTCACAATGAAAGTGTGAGGCTGTCGTGTGGCTTGCTTGCTCTTATTTATGTGGTACGGGGTCTCCTTATGCAGCTCAGACTCGTAGTGACCCTCCTATCTCCGCCTCTCCATCACCGTGTGCGCCACCATGCCCGGTTTTGGTGGCTGCCGGGGCATGCTGAACCGGGGACTGAACGTGGGTCCTCGTGCTTGCCAGGCAGGCACTTATGCCACTGAGCTATCTCTCCAGCCCGTGTATGGCTTTCTTGTCCCTCCTTGGCCAGGAGTTTCCAGGAGACAAAGCCTGGTCCTGCCCCCCACATCTTGTACCTTGGGTTTCCTAAATGTCCCTGGGATCCAGCAGGTGCCAGTGTGCCGTGTCCCTGGGGCTGTTTTTCTCTGGAAATGGAGGCAGTGGCTTTGCCCCACTGCCTTCCTGGTTGCAGAGCCCCTGCAGCCCCTGAATGCCACGGTTCTGCTGCTTACCTGTTCAGCAATCTCCCAGCTTCATTTGCTTTTTAAATCTCCATAATCTGAGGGAGTGATGTTTACCTGACTTACTGGGGCATCCCAGCCTGTTGGGAGCATCAGTTACAATTATAAAATTTTATGTCTCCAAGACCCCATCAGAGTGGAATCTGCTAGACCCCCTTCTTGTTAGGTAGGAGGTCTCTTCTGGCGTGGTGGCCAGAGTCCATGGTGGTGGTGTCATTTTAATCTTTAGAACTAAAAGCCTGCTGGTGTTTAAAACAAAACCTCGTTTACTTCTAAAGGATGTTTGGCCAGTGGCCCGAGCTCCTGGAAGTCTGTGACTCAGTTCCTAACCAGGCCATGTGCTGGGCGTGGAGGGTGTGTCCACTGACCAGATAGGGACACTGTAAAACACAAAAACACCCTGTCCCCTCCTCACAGGTACCTTCACCCTCTGCCAGCGTCCTCAGAGGCCACTCTCCCTGGGGAGACAGAAGGGCAGGTGATGACATTTACTGGGGGTAAGCCGGGCAAGGAGCCCCTCTGGGGACCAGCCACAGGAGGCCTGCATCTTTGCAGTACCAGGAGAAGGGGGCGGGGGGGGGGGGCACAGCCAGGCTGGTGTGGTGCAGTGTGGCCAGAGAGCCAGCCTGGTGCCCTGGGCAAAGGGGCAGCTGTGGGATGGAGGCCAGGAAAGCAGGACCCCGATTGCTGTCCTGTGGGGTGTGGATGAAGGTGGATTTCCTGAGGGAGCCCACAGGGCGGAGGCCAGGTCTGAGTTCAAAAGCCAGTCACTCAGTGACAGAGGATGGAAGCCCAGCGGCTTTGCATTCAGGTCCCTGGCTACACAGCGCGAGGGGGTGGGATGTACAGCCTGGACGCCACCCTTGCCAAGTGGGGGCCCGGTCCTTGGAAGCTCTCTGGAGCCAGCTGTGTAGGGACAGCTGGTGGGGGTCTGTGCAGTTTTATAACCAGAAGACAGGACCCATCGCAAGCTAGCCTGTGGGACGTGGGATTTTACCCCCTTCCCAGGGAGCTGTCCCAGAACCCACACAGCAGGCATCTCCGGGCAGCGCCTTCAGTGGGCTGGAGAACAAGGCCACCCCAGAATTCCCCTAGAGCTGCCCTATGGCTCCACCCCCAAAGCAATTATGTCATTCCAGGCTCCGCACTTGTGACTGGGATTTGGGGGGAAACCTTAGAATAGTTTGACTCATCTGGCAAGAAAAGCTAAGAAAATGTGGGGGGTGGAGAAACCTGCTAGACCCGAATACAAATGATAAAACCCAGGCCTGCTCTAACAGGGAGTGGCTGGGCACAGTAGGAGCATCCAAGGCCAGAGACACGGTGGGCCGTGACAGGGATGCAGCCATGTGACAAAGCAGCACACCACTGAGGGGAGGAGCCCTCATGATGTGTGAATCTTGGGGCAGTCAGGGACAGACTGCGCACCACACACCACGTAACTCCTCAATGTTTATTAAGGGGTGGGGGACCTCAAGCTTAGGCCACAAGGATCGTGTGGGGTGCTCACGGGACCCCACTCTGCCCCTCCCGGAGCAGCAGGATGTTGCTTTAACACCAGAACATCTGGCTCTCCCCACCTTCTCCTGAGTGAACAGTGGACATCTTCAGAGGCTTCATGACAGGACTGGGCGAGATCAAGGGTAGGCCAGGATGCTGGTGCGCACCCACAACCCAGCTCTCCAGGAGGCCGAGGCAGAAGGATCCCCAGCTCAAGCCCAGCCTGGGCAACTCAATGACTTAGTGAGACCGTCTTTAAAATGGGGGTAGAAGTGGCAAAGGCCTTGGAGCCTACCTTATAGTAAAGATAAACTAAAAAGGGTCAAGTACAGAAGCAGATATGTGACTCTAGCTGTCTTCCAGTAGCTAGAATAATATTAAAGAAATTTGCCGAAGTATAAAACAATGCCAAGGGCCAGCCAGATAGCTCAGGGAACTAAAGCACTTGCTTAGGCAGAACGCAGGGGTGGGAGTTTGAGCCCCAGCAACAAAAGCCATGCCAGCCCCACCCTGGGGCACACTGAGACAGTGACTGAAACTGGGTGTGGTGGCACGTGCCTGCAATCCCAGCACTTGGGAGGCTGAAAACAGGAGAATCACTGAGACACAGAGTGAGACCCTGTAAGCCCTGTAGTAAAATACAATGAAAAACAATGCCACTCTTCCTCATTCGTTTTTACAAGTTTTCATTAAAATACATTGCTGTGTCCTAGGTGTCATTTTATATTTTTAAACCATACTCTAAAACTTTGTTCTAATTTACAGCATGGGAGGTACTGAGCTATATATGGTAGATACGACCCATATATGCAAATGCTCTTTGGGGTCCCCAACAGTTCTAACGCGACAAAAGGGTCCTGGGATGCAAAGGCGTGAGCAGGGATCTTGGGTCACAGATGCAGACGTGGGGACCCTTTACCACTTGGGCAGCTGACCAGCTTAGGGATCCTGGGTTCCCACATCTACTGACGCAACTGACCTGCCAACTGCAGCCAGGCACCCTCCACGTGCCGGGCTGGGTCTGCGGTGCTGACCCCCATTCTGTGTTGGAGTGTAGTAGACATGCGCAGGCAGAGATTGGTCAACTGTGTCGAAATTTCAGCCCATTCATATGGAACACACGTGCGCAAACACACACAATAAAACTTGGAAGCACAGGCGAGCAAACATGACACACACCAGGTTAGTATCTTTAATATATAATGAGCTTATACAAATTCTCAGACCTCATAGGTAGAGCGAAGGACACTGACAATCCACAAGAGAGGAAATACAACCACCAAATGCGAAAAGATGCTCAACAGAGCTAGAAATCCAGGGACTGTGAGCTGAGACACAACGCGTCTGCTGTTACCAACCAGCGAACACCTGGCCATGCTGAGCCCAACCCTGGCCAGCTGGGCACGCTTCCCCTTGCTGGTGGGCACGTAAATGGGCATTTTAGGAAGCCTTTTGTCACTAGAGAATAAACCCTGGACTGTCTTCATATCTTTAATGACCCCCAGGGAATCTATCTCAAGGCATGACGACATGGGGAGAAGACCTGATGCACTGGGAACTCGTCCCTTGGGACAGTGAGGACGGAGCAACAGCACTCATCAGTACCTGGCGCCGCTGTCCCTCGCCTGGTGAAGAGCTAGCTGGCAGCCAGCGCGGACGAGTTGTCCCGACAGTGGCAGCTGCGACACTGCCAGTAAGGGCAGCATCGTTACAGACGGCATCAGTGTCCTAACCACAGAAAATGCCAAGAAACCGTGGGCCGGGGCCTGGAAGGAGAGGCTACAGCGTTCGCCTACTCGGCCCTTGCCGCTGCTCGATTCCCCCAGTCCCTGGAACACCCAGCTTCACGCAGGGAGTGCAGAGACCTGCTGGGGACTTAGTGCGAACGTGTGCGCTCACTTTCCTGCCTCTATCCTGGGCCCCTCACCATCAAACCTAATGTGAAGTCCCCAAGAAACGATGCCATTGAGACTCGAGGTCCTTGCCACTCTGTGACCAAGAGACACTGTCCCACCAGCCCCAATCCCGGGCAGCCCTGCCCACGGACGCAACCATTCCTGGCCTTCTCAAAGCCCCTCAATGACTTGTCCTGAGCAGGGACCAGGTCCAACTGCTCACACTGCAAGACGAGGACCTCCACAAGCCTCTGCCTTTACCCCAGGGTGTGCCCAGCCCCCAGGTCTATATCCGGGTACTGTCTCGAGGGAGGGAACATCTGGTGAGCTCGCCTGGTGGTGAGGGTGGCTCTCTGCTCCATGACAGTAGGCACAGGTGGGTCAGGATGGTCCTGCCTCGCCACCCCAAGATATATTTCATACCTGTCATCTACTCAGCTGGGGTCAATGACATAGGTCCTGCTGGTTCACAGAAGTCACCAAAAGGCTTCAGGATAAGAATCCGTCTCCAGGTCACACTGCACCCTAGGCCAGGAAGTCACCCCTACCAAATGCCACTGCCACGTGTGTCCTGGCATGCCACAAAGCTTACTCACCAGACAGGGACCATGCGGACCAGACAGCGGGCACAACACCGTCCCAACAATGACGACACCAAGAGCAACAGAAACTCTTCACATGCACTAACTCCACCGCCTTTCACTACCTGTTCTCCGCAAGCTGGAGAAACTCTAACCCCAATATATACACGTCCCAGCTGGCTTTTGCTTGGTCCCTTTGTCACCATGGCCTCCCTCCGGGGCTGCGTGGGCCTCGAGTCTCATCCCCTGCCTGGGTGTCCCCTCCTGCAGGCGTGACTGACCCGCAGTACTTCTGGCAGTCTCTCAGCCCTCTCTCATCTGCTCCAGGTCGAGTCGCGGGAGCTATCGAGAAGGCGACACCTGCATGACGGCATGCGTCCTGGGCCCACAGATAGGAGTACCAGGGCACGAAACATACGGCAGCCACCAAACTAGGTGCAGCCGGAACAGCGGCAGCCTTGAGCAGGCACAACCATCGGAGGCAAAGGGCCAGCAGCAGATGTGGACAGAGGGGTAGCCAGCCTTGCCCTTGTGGTTCCAGCTCCCACAGGGCTGGAGAGGGGACAGGAGCACTCACCGGCCCACCTGGGGGAGACAGGGCCGGGGAGGTGACATATGTGGGCCAGGCCACATGGAACTCTTTCCAGGTCTCCTGGTGCTGCTATCTCCCTTCATCTGGAAACACCTGCATTAGCTGGCATGAGGCCTGCCAACACAGCCGCAGGGACAGAAGGGCACAGGAGGAGGTGACCAGCACCAGCCCACCTCACATGGCAGCCCCACTGAGGACCCTTCCTGCCACTCTCAATTACTGAGCACCATGTTCAACTGGAAGGGCCTGGGCAGAGTCCAGGAGAACCCGAAGCCTATGTCCAAGGAGCTGGTCGGCAGGGCAACTGAGCTAACAGTTACGCAGGTGGCCACGCTCACAAATTCAACAATCATTCGGTCTCCGTGACCTGGGATGGCAGCGGTTGCCTTAGAAACACAGCCACTTTTCCAGCAGCATGGAAACTCCCTGGAGATGGTTCCCAGGACTGAAGCTCTGGATCCTAGAACACAGTCTGCTCTGGGTGGGCGCACAAGGAGCCCTTCTGCAATCAAGGCAGGACTACCAGTCGGGGAAGGTGAAGCCTGTCTCCTCCCAGGTCACACAGTTCACACAACAATGAAGTATGGCTGGCGTGTCACAGTCCAAAGGGCTGGGCCAAGCTGGGATCAGAACAAGACTTCATGCTTGTCTCTCTGCAAGGAAGCCAAGGCCACACTCTTCAAGGTACAGCTGTGTCCCTCTGAAGGACACACAGCCAGTCCTGTGACATCCCCACTCCAGGACCCAGCTGTCCACAACTCTGCCTTCCATGCTGAAGATATTTCCCAGAGGAGCCGTCTTGCTGTAAGAGGAAACCTACTCGTTCGTGGATAAAAAGACACAGCCACCTAGGTACAGGAAGGGTGTGCCAAACGGCACCTCTGGAGACCTGGAGATGGTAGGGGTGGCTAAGGAACGAGCTGAGGGCCATGCAGTGCCCGAATGAAAAACGAATGGGTCTCCAGTCAGGCCACTAAGAGACACGGCTGATACTAGCAGCTCGTGAGCGCCTCACCAGCAAAAGAGCCACTAGTGTCCACACCTCAGCATGCCACAGTTCTTGGCAATGGGTGTGCATGAGTCCACTGCCCATGGTGATCTGATGGAACTGCCCAGGGTCGCTGGTCCACAAGGGCCTTCGAGAGCACACAAGCATAACCCCCGTATTTCTTGGGACCATCAAAACCCTGGCAGCTGAAGCTGGGCATGGATGGCAGTGCATCGGGAGACTGCCTCCCTCTCCCTGCCAAGCGGGTCCACCCAGCTGGGCTGTGTGGTGGTGCAAAGTGGAGGTTGCCCCTGGTGATGCTGGAGCAGTACTTGGCCACTGATGGTAGGGACAAGGCGCTGCCCACTATCCTAGGCCCTGGGAAGGGGTGGCAGGGCTGGTGGCCAGCAGAGGGAGACAGCCAGAGCTCCTTCTCCAGGTGTGTGTGTATCACGCCACCAGCCTGGCCAGGCTGGTTCTTTCCACCCAGAACCTGTTGGCAGGAGCAAGGCAACCAGGTAGGGAGTTACCCCGGCCTCACAAAAGGTACAGCAGGAGTGTCCGAGCTAGGGGTCGAGGGTGCAGTCCAAATGGTCCAGAGTGCGCTGTGGGGACAGTGGGCCTAGAGCAGCAAAGTTGCTGGTGCAGCTGAGGTTGCAAGGAGGGGGGCATGCACTGAGATGCAGGTACAGAGCCAGCACGTGACAACAGGAAGCAAGGCAGGTGACCGGGAGCCAAGCGGGGCAGGAGGAAGATCTATGGAATACGAGGCACTGGAGGGGACGGCTTCGAAAGGGCGATGCTGTCACATGGACATTTCTTCTCCACAACAGAGCCTACGCTACCCGGATGGCTGCAGATGCTACTGGGGTGGTGGCGGCCTAAAGGTTTCGCGCCCGAGTGGGCAGAGCCGGAGCTGGACTGGTCCCATTGGAAGCCGGATGCACAGGGCAGGGCCCAGTGCCCGCCGCGGCCAGCTGGCGGCACAGCATCTGCCGCTCGCGCACCGCCCTGTTGGAGGCAGAAGTCTTCCTGATCTGGGCACGGCGCGCGTGCCGCAGAGGGGACTTGTAGGTTCTCCGCAACTCGGCCAGGAAGCCCTGATAGTCGTTCCGCAAGGGGCTGTCCGGCTGCATGTGCGGGATGGCCCACTTCTCAGCCTCCCCGGTCAGGCGGGACACAAGGAAGGCCACCCGCTCCGCCTCACCTGGGAAGCGGGACGCCTGGAAGATCATGAACCTGTCCATCTGCATCAGGAAGCCCGCCAGCTGGCCCGGGTCTCCGGAGAAGGGCTCGGGCAGCGAGGTGGGCGGCGTGGTCATGGGGCGACTCCCGTTGGAGGTGATGGCCGAGATGGGCGGCGTGATCTGCAGCGCCCCGGGAATGCGCGCGCGGGTGCGCAGCAGGGTCAGCTCGGCCATCACGCTCTCCAGCATGTTGGTGAGGTTGGCCTTCTCGGCGCGCAGCGTGGAGGCCTCGCGACGCAGCGCGGAGTTGGTGAGGCGCAGCGAGGTCAGCGTGTCGATCACGTCGTCCATCTGGGCGTTGGCGGCAGAGGCTGAGGCCGGGCCTTCGGCCTTGGACGTCTGCGGCTGCACCATCCCGGCCGCGGTGGGCCACACGCGGAGGCCGATGGGTGGGCCCAAAGAGGCCGGGGCGCCAGAATCAATCGGAGGCCTCGGGGTGCTGGGGCCGGGCGGGCCGGGGCAGGGACGTCTGGGCAGGCTGGGGTGCAGGGCGGAGGGGCGGCCAGGCCCGAGCAGGCCTCGGGGTCGCGGCCTGGTTCCGGTTCCGGATGCAGCTCTTTAAGGACGGCCTCCTGGGGCGCCGAGGGCGAGCGTGAGGCCGGGCCGTTCCGGGCCCTGAAGGCTGAAGACTTTTTTTTCCTTTTTTACAGTGTCGACTGCGGAAGAGCGGGTGAGGGACGCACGGCCGGCTCAGAGCCCCGCGCCCACCCGCGCAGAACAAAGAGGGCGGCACCTGCGGGGGCCCGGCTAGCGCGAGGCTGCGGGCGCGCGTACCTGGGGTCTCGCGGCTTCTTTCGCGCCGGCCGCGACCGCCAGGGACAGCTACGGGCCGCGGCCAGGTCGATGAGTCACCGCGGCGCCGCCGGAACTGCTTCCCGGTCAGCGAGGCGGCGAGGGCAAGGGCGGCGCGCGGCCTCCGGCAGGTGCGGCCTGCGCCGGAAGGGTCCGGGTCAAGGCTGGCGCAGGGCAATCACCGCACGGCCTGTGTGCGGGCGGGGCCGACGAGGGGGCGACGGCGGCCGAGACGGAGGGGCCGCGCGCGGGGCCCTGCTGGTTACCATGGAGACCGCCCGCTCAGGCGCGCGCCGCAGTCTCTGACGTCCCGCCCCCGGACGTGACGTTTGTTTCGCCTCCTGGGCGCTGTGGTTGGCCTACTTGCCTCAACAACCAATCAATGACGAGTGTGGGTGTGGCTTATTACTGAGCTCTATGCCTGGGTTTTCCGAGCCTCCCCAGTGCTGCTTGGAAAGGTTTTTGTGTGTTTTCAAGTGAAATTGACTTTTCTTCTTGTTGTAGCTTGAAAATAAATTCAGTGTAGTATGTGTTTACTGTAGCAAGTCTTGAGAAGTCCGAAAAGCCCTGAAACCTTTTCAGTCACCTCGTTCTTGTCATTTTCCCAAGATATGGTCCCTCATTAAGAACCATATTTTTTCCATAATTTTATTGAGAAATAGCAATGAGACAATTTCAAATCAAATTGGTAGGACAATTCCAATAATTAACGCATACTGTCTTCCTACTGGTTATTTGTTGTACAAGATGCAAACATGATAGCCTATTTACAAACACTATTAGAAAAAATACCATATTTTTACTTTGAAAAAATTCCCCCTTTCTCAGATCTTTTCATCTCCAGAAATTCCATCTTCCTGCTCCCGATCCTTCTTATTTTCCTCTTTAAATTATATTTTTACTTTCTCATATAAGAGAAACCACATGACATTCATGCTTTATTTCATGTAGCTTTAGAGCCTCAAGATCCGTCCATTTTCTGCTAAGTGATTCAGCTGTATCCTTCGGCTGTGTAGCATTCGTTCTGCATATGACATTTTCTTTATCTGTTCCTTTATCGATGAGCACATAGCCTGTTCCCACGAAATACTATTATTGTGCCTTACAAACTTCTGTAGCCTTAATAGCATGTTGAACTTTGAGATTTTTCCCATTAAATATAGTTTGAAGGCATAGTTTCAGTTACTGCCTCGTGTTCCCCTAAAATCGTGCACCACAGCTCATCCAACCGCGCCTGTTTTGATAGAGCTCTATGTTACTGTTCACACGTAAGTTTTATAAACTGCACAAATCGCAGCCTCTTTCTCTGCAAGCTTCCTGGGTTCAGTGCTAAAGGGAGAAGTTATCAGGCCAGAGGGTAGGAGCTATTAGGCCCAGGATCTGGGGTCCTTTCCAGCCCGATTCTGCAGAACAGCTTGGGACAGCAGGCTCCAAGCTGGGCCGACCACCGTGCCACAGCTGTCACCCGGAAGAGGCAGCTCTTGGAGGGGCACCTGTGTCCCAATCTGCCAAATAGAGAAATGCCTGCAATCAGCTGCAACCTGCAGGGCAGGGAGCCAGAGAAGAAGGAAGAGGGTGCGGCCTCCCAGCGCTGCGGAACATCTGCCCCAAATCACATGGCGGCGGGAACTCTGTTCACCTTCACTGAGGTCAGTGGCTTCAGCCCAGGCAAAAAGTAGCCGCGCCTTCTCTACCCCTCCTGGTTCTCCCAAACAGGTCTCCAGGCCTGTGAGGCACCGCTCACTCTCTCCCCTCAGTGCCAGAGTCGCGCATCCCCAGCGCCCTGGGTGCTTTGCGCAAGAGGGAGATGTCCGCCATATCTGCAGACACAGTAGACGCTCGAAATCTTAAATTCCCACGAGCCTTGACTGTTAGGTACACCCTGATGTCAGACATGCTAAAACATGAAATTGACAAAATGACATTTATTTATATTCCACCTCATGTCTAACAGAACATAAGGTGGCAGGATATTAAAATAGAGTAAAATAAAAATGACTGAACCTTAAGCATTAGGAAGAGAAAGAGTACAGGGATTCGGGTCCCGATGTTGCTAGAAGCGCCGCTCTCTACCGTGAACACAGAGCAACAAACTATAGAAAGAGAATGTTAAAGGCTTTGGCTGGTCTTGAAAGCAGGATAAACTTCACTGTGGCTAGCGACACAGACTGCTGAGTATTGGGCCAGCCCTGGCCCTGCTGGGTCCCAAGGTGTGACAGGAGCACAAGGACAGGAAACAAGCCAGGCCTCCTGCTGAAGCCAGGGGTTAGGGGAAAGGAAAGTCGGACCTATGTTGGC